ACTCTTTCTCTTCTACTCTTCTCTCTTCTAATCTTTCTCTTCTCTCTGCCTCTGCCCTGCTCTGCTTTTCATCTGTCCATATTGTCGGAAGTTTGACTTCTAAACTTCCTTCGATTAATGTTATTACATATTGTGTACTGTTATTGTATATAATGTTTTTGTTCGATTGTGTATATGATGATCAATCTTATTGTAATCTTCAGGAAAGCAAAACAATCACAGCAATGCCAAATGTTCCTTGTCAACACTTGGCAACACCCAGCTGCCAGAGTCGGAGCTTTCAGCTTTTTCAGTTTTTTCCTGCCCATGTCCCACATTTCAGGACTTTCTCACACAAACATTCAAAACATTCAAAATGCATCAAACTTCAAGTCTATATTTGCAGCTTCTTCAGTTTTTTCCGCCGTCCTGGACGCCTTGCTTTGCATTTCCCAAGTTCAAAGGTGAGGAACCACTTGCACTTCCGGTGGCTTTCCGCGCCTGCAGGGTTGAGAACAGAGTTGGCAAGAAGATAAAAGGGTTGAATCTGTACCTTTTGGAATTCAGCACAATTCAACTACTTTGTCTCATGGTTTTGAGAGTTTGACAAAGTCCAGTCAGGCCTGATTTCTCCGGCGGCATTGCCAGACCTCAGGGGCAGTCTCGAAAAGACAGGTCTCAAAAAACCTGGCTGGACTGAATGGAGCAATTCTCTCTGAAAATATGCAAAAATATGCAAGATTAGCGGTGAAGGCAGCAACAGGACGATCGAACAAAGCATTCAAAAGCACTCAGCGAAGCCTGGGGGTTGACAATATATCGGTTTGGGTGCCCAGCGCTTGCACCGCTTGCAGCGCTGGCACAAAGCGTGGACAGCGTTGAAAGCGCCCCAGTCTGCCGAATCTGCGGCTTCGCAGGTGGTGTCTGTCTGCATGCTGTCAACTCGGCATGGAACCTGAAACGTTCAGAGAGATGTCTGCCGCGATGCTAACGCAATACTACTGCGATAGTTATATATATTATATATGATCTATTATATATTTCATATTATATATTATACATTATATATTATATATTATATATTATATATACTATATGATATATTAAATATAATTTCATGTATTTTATATTATATAGAATACATTATATATATGATATACTATATATGATTTAATAAATAGTATATATTAAATAATATATATTATATATAGTATGTTAAATATTTTATATTATTTATTAAATATTGTTTTTTATATAATAATTTATATTATATATATATATTATATATAGTATATACTATATATAATATATTATATTTTATGTTATATATATGTATATATATATTGTAGATATATTATACATATGATATATTATATATTAAAAAATATATATTGTATATTATATATTATATAATAAATATTATATATTATGCATTATGTATAATGTATTTATTTTATATTTTATATTTTATATTATATATTCTAAATTATCTATCATATATTATATATTATATATTAAATATGATATATTATATATTAAATATTATATATTATATATTATATATTTTAAATTATCTATCGTATATTATATATTATATATTAAATATGATATATTATATATTATATATTATATATAATAAATTATATATTATATATAACATATTATATATTTTAAAGCATATATTATATCTTATATAGTATATATTATATATTATATATGATATATTATATATCTTAAATGATATATTACATATTATATTTGAGATATTATATATTTTATGTTATATTTTAGATATTATATATTATATAAATTATATATATATGTGTAACAACCTAGTACATTGATTACAATTGGAGCAAATCCTAACAAGCAAATGCTGACAAGAAAATAGCAATTGAATCTAATTGGATCATTCGTCCCTTTCATGGATACTTTTCATTGGATCAATCGCAAGATTGGTTATTTGATGTTCATAAGTTCACGCAATGTTTCGTTCGTAGCTTCCATTCATTTCTGCTTTCCCATCATAAGCCCTTTGCAACACACAAACCTTTCAGGTGCACTTTGAACGGCCTTGGTGCAGGAGTCCGCCAGGCCTGTCGGGAGCCTGCGCCAATTTCTAGCACGTTCGAACTAGAGTTAGGTCAAGAAAAAAAAAGTATAGTAAATGTGGTAAAATCAGCACCTCATGGTTATGTAAACACGCAACCGTGAAGTCCTCCAGCAACAGTGCCAGGACGTCAGTAACGAGCAGGAAACGACAAGAATGAGAACTTGCACCTGGGGAACCTTCACCGCGCAGAGCCACCTGCCCACAGCGACAAATCTGGCAAAATGATGCACAGCATGTCCTGAAGCTATATGACTCTTTGGACAGCTCCATATTGCTGCATAATGCTGCATAGCTATGACATGCTATGACTTTGTACGACCTTTACGACTTTCTCCGCCGCAAAACAATAATCGTTGACCCTGCTTTCCTACTTCCAGGCCTGTGCTTGTTGCAAACTTGCCACATAGGCTGCAAGAGACATGGCCAGCACAGCAAGGGAGCAACAGTGATGCACTTGTGATGCACTGTAAAGTGATTCTTGCATATGACTGACCTGAACGACCGCACGGTTCCCATTGTTGTCCACTTTGCATCAACAACTCTACAACAATTGCCCGTCGTTGCCCTGACAGTGTCACACCGAGCCATCCGCTTGATTTGTTCCCAAAGTGTGCAAAATGTCTTCCTACAACCCCCCCATGTGCCACTCAGCATTGCTCATTTTTCTCTGCGATTTTTCTGTGCATTCGGTCTGAATGGTTGGCGCAGCTTAGCATTAACCTGCATCAAGGGATCACCTTACAACTTTCCAAATAGACAATTTGTTCTTGAGTTCTGGGCTAGGACTCCAAACTTATTGTCTGAGTCCTGGGCTAGGACTTCAGAAGGATACTAAGCGCGCAAAAGACAGAATGAACTGCATAACCAGTTGCATTCTGCAAAAAGCGTCGTCACTTACAGGACGACTTTGCATGTTTATTTGAAACTTTCTTTTGGGGGAGGAAAGCTCGGACATGCAAGGCATGCAAGGCGACCTGACTTGGAGTATTGCCAGGGCCGTGCAGTTGCGCCGAAGGACTCCCGGACTCCCTTCAAATCCCTCAGTCATTGCACATATCTGCACAATTCTGCACATATCTGCACATTCGCAAATTTTAATGAATTCATTGGAATCGGATCCAGCCGAGAACCTACGAAGCCCACTGCTTCAGCGAGTCGTAAGTGGAGATCCGTTGAGCCGCTTTACGGGTCAAAAACTTCTCCGAAGCTCGGCACCTCTGGCATAGACATGCTATAGAGCATTATAGAGCCATAGACATGCACGGCCCATAGCACTCCACATTCGGAGTTGAGAATCAATCGCTCAAGATGGGCCAAATGACGGCTCCACCGGACGCACATCGTGGAAAATTGCCTTGCAATTCCAGCAATTATGACCGATGGAACGTTCACACCCCTCACATTGCCAAAACACTTGATATGCCCAGATTCGATTTGTGAGCATGTCAATCGCGAAACGAATTGAATTAAAAAATGCAAACTTGACATGACCAGTATCTCAGTATCTCCGCATACCTTGACAATACCTTGACAATGTTAACAGTATTTTTAATGTATTCATACCTTTCTTCTGTCTGTCAAGAAACGGTGTCCTCTCGCTTGACTTGATCTGGTGGCAGATCCTTCCAGGCACGGAGTTCCGGATTAGAAAGTGCTTAGTCTTGGAGCTATCGAGATTTTGCCCATTGTCGTGAACCGCTCAAATTGGTGCCCGGCGGTGCCCGGTGCCCAAATTCTCATCGGCATGACTGAGCATCAGTCTTGTCAGTAAGTTTTCTCTTTGCAAGACAGCGTCTGTGTTGATCAGGTTGTGGTTCATATCTTGGATGAAGTAGCGAGCATAAATGACCTGGATGCCAATACTGCACTTCATACCACTTCAGAGCAGCAAGATGCAGCACGCACATAAACGGAAGCACTCGGTGAGCTGGTTCCACCTCCTCTGAACAAGTTTTAAATCATTAAATCATTCCAAATGTTCGAACAAACGTCATAGAATTCATTCAGCTCAATGGCCCTGGGTGATCTCCATTCAAAGAAATTGAAAACAAACAGGAAGAAATTGAAAACAAACAGGAACTTTGTGTGCAAATTGACGAGATTACAGGGAAAAACAGCAGTTCAGAGAGAGGTTTGAAACCAAAATGCATCCCCGTCATATGTCTTTGGTTTTGATTGGTTTTGTCCGAATTGGGAAGTCCTCTGTTCAAGTACCACCATTTAAACCGATTCACTCTTTTTGCCTGTTCTGCCAGCAGCAAAGGGAAAAAATGCGTGGTAAGCAGGGCAAACATATATATATAATGCACTAAAATAAAGGTTTTTTCCGTCCAAAAACAAGTTAATGGAAGAAGGCATCCATTTACGGCTTAAGACAAAGCGCAAAAACCAAAGCACCGGGCAAATGCCGATAGAATCTGATAGAACCTGATAGAACCTGATAGAATGTGCAAAGGCCATTTCAACATGTTCCGATAGGTTTCGATGTTGTACAATGTCTCGTGTCGCCATTCAGATGCCAAAGGGCCACATCACACATTGCAGCAGTGCTTCGCTGGACGCAGAGGCCAAACTTTTCTGCCTTCACAGCCAAGACCCGCGCATCCTCCAGGGGCCACAGAATCTCATTACATCCACGACATGCGTTTTTTAAGGACAGAAATCCTGTCTGTATGTGTTAGTGTAACATCTCAATGGATGTAAAATTTCTACCTTCGCGTGTCAAGGTGTTCTGTTGTTTTCGGCCACTTTGAATTACATGATGTGTAAAGCAACCGTGTTACTCAATTCAACGAAAAAAAGTTTCTTGTTTACAGCTGATTGCTAAATGAAAAGGGCTGCATTCATGACTGATATGAGTCTGGACGCTAGAGTCAAGCATCTGCATCTTATGACCTCGTTTCTTACCAATCAGCTTGTTGCGATTGTGATGGGAAGCAAGTGGCTACCCCAAGAACCACCTCGCCGATTTGCAATCATTTTTCCATGTCTTGCACTTTTGCTGCAATCTGGTCTATATAGAGTATTTGGATTCCGGTTTGGATTCTGTCGCTAAAAGGAAGGGAAGGGTCAGCTCCAATCTTGCTGGGAACATGTTGACGTCGCTGAATACAATTTGTGGGCAACAGATACGCAACTCCTGCCTGCACTCTTTCTCCCCATCAGGCTTACTGCTGCTGTGATTTGCACGTAAGATGCATTCCACCTTCAAAATTCGAAAAGCAATTCTGACGCGTGCGTTCCCCTTGCTGAATTTCTAGGTGGAAAGCTGGATCCGAAAATCGAAAGCTGAAGTGAGGTACTTTAATACGGGGATTCGTCTAAGTAAAGTGAAACAATTAGCCTTTTTCCCCACAACTTTGTGTGGGGTTCTTGTTTTTGATTCTCTATCCCGGGTCGCCTCCCCGCCTCCTCCTCCCGCCTCCTCCTCCACACACTCACACACACAACTTTGTCACATACCATCTCTTACACACACACACAAACTTAACAGACAACTTAGTCACACAACTTTGTCACATACCATCTCTTACACACACACAAACTTAACACACAACTTTGTCACATACCATCTTCAACATACAAACTTTCACATACATAAACTTAACATACAACTTTGTCACATACCATCTTTCAATAACTTCACATACACAAACTTAACACACAACTTTACAATAACTTCACATACACAAACTTAACACACAACTTTGCCACATACCATCTTTCACATACACAAACTTAACACATAACTTTGTCACATACCATCTTTCACATACAAACTTTCACATACATTTACATAAACTTAACAGACAACTCACTTTGCGTGGCAGGCGTGGCGCTTGGTGACATCCACCTTCGTTTCACGTGGCAAGCGTGGCACAATCTCACATCCACCTTGGTTTTGCGTGGCAGGCGTGGCACTCATGGCACTCATGGCACTGGGTGGCGCCCTTGGGCCCTGTTTAGTCGCGCGTGACGCCGCGGCACTTTGCGTGGCAGGCGTGTGGCACTTGGTGACATCCACCTTCGTTTCACGTGGCAGGCGTGGCACAATCTCACATGCAACTTGGTTTTGCGCAGCAGGGGTGGCACTCATGGCACCGGGTGGCGCCCTTTGGCCCGGTTTAGTCGCGCGTGACGCCGCGGCACTTTGCGTGGCAGGCGTGTGGCACTTGGTGACATCCACCTTCGTTTCACGTGGCAAGCGTGGCGCAATCTCACATCCACCTTGGTTTTGCGTGGCAGGCGTGGCACTCATGGCACTGGGTGGCGCCCTTGGGCCCGGTTTAGTCGCGCGTGACGCCGCGGCACTTTGCGTGGCAGGCGTCGCACTTGGTGACATCCACCTTCGTTTCATATGGCAAGCGTGGCACAATCTCACATTCACCTTGGTTTTGCGTGGCAGGCGTGGCACTCATGACACTCCTCGTCCTCCTCTTCCTCCCGCCGCCCGCCTGTCACACACAACACAACTTTGTCACACACCATCTTTCACATACAACTTTCACACACAACTTTGTCAACCACCATCTTTCACCTACCTTTTTTCACACACAACTTTGTCACACACCATCTTTCAACTTTGTTAGACACTCCTCGTCCTCCTCTTCCTCCCGCCGCCCGCCTGTCACACACAACACAACTTTGTCACACACCATCTTTTACACACAACTTTGTCAACCACCATCTTTCACACACCTTCTTTCACACACAACTTTGTCACACACCATCTTTCACACACCCTCTTTCACACACTCATTGTCACACACCATCTTTAACACACCATCTGTAACATCTCTTTTGCTTTCCGATCATGTTGGCCCAAGCACGAATTCCAGACAGCAAATCCACTTGTCTTCTAGGAGAGTTACTCAAGTGGAATTAGCAGTTGCATTGCGCAACTTATCACCTTATCATCCGATGATGTTTGCTGCTTGGGTCGCTCCGGCATGTTTTATTTTCCGACATGTTTTCTGCTTCGCTTCCTTTCTTCTTCTGGCTTGTTTACGCATGTCCTGTTCCGGCATGGTCTATGGTCGCTCCGGCATGTTGTCTTTTCCGACATGTTTTCTTCTTCGCCTCGTTTGTTCTACTGGCCTGTTTACGCATGTCATGTTCCGGCATGTTTTATGGTCGCTCCGGCATGTTTTATTTTCCGACATGTTTTCTGCTTCGCTTCGTTTGTTCTGCTGGCTGGCTTGTTTGCGCACGTCCTGTTCCGGTATTTTTTATGGTCGCTCCGGCATGTGGTATTTACCGATATGTTTTCTGCATGTGTATCTTCCGGCATGTTTCTTCTTTCCACGTGCTTCGGCATGTTTGATTTTCTGGCATGTTTAAGTACTTTCTTCTTTCGGCTTGTATCATTTCCATTCACATTTGCGGCCAGGTACGTGTCTTCGTCTTTGTGGTCGCTACGGCAGGCAGGGCCGCCGGCATGTTTACCTACCTTCGTCGTCGCCACGCTTTATGTTCCGGCATGTTTCTTCTGTCGGATTCTTTCGGCATGTTTGCTTTTCTGGCATGTTTACGTACTTTCTTCTTTCGGCCTGCTGCATTCCACACACAATTGCGGCCAGGTGCTGGTCTTGCTTGTGGTCGCTACGACAGGCAGGGCCCAACTGCGCTTGAGCAACGCTGTGCAGCGCAGACATGACATGACAATGGCGTCCAGTTTTTTGCATGCAGACTGTGTCATCATGTCGTTCTGTTTTGGTCGCTTTGGCTCAACTAGAAGTTGTGGACAACAGCTCTAGCACGCATACCGAATCAATGGCATAGTCAGTCAAGTTCCATTTTTGTTATTTGCACACGTTTGGTGAAGCCTAGCGCAGTCAAAGATGTGGTCATCAGATCATTTCTCGTCGCTCTGGTCGTTGTGGCCCAACGTGGAACGAAACGACCGGAGCAGCATATTTCTGCTTTGGTGACCTTGGCCCAACGTGGAAAAAGGCCACCGAAGCAGACATTGCAGAGGATAGTGTTACCAGCACTACAACCGCAACTACAACTAGTGAGTCAAGTTAGATTTGTTATTTGCATTTGTTTTGTGAAGCTATGGCGGTGCAAAAACTTGCGAATGGTTGGCGCGCCCGCCGCAAGAAGGACGGCAAGACGTTCAACGGACCGCTGCGCGCGACTGAAGTGGCCGCAAACGAAGATGCGCGGCAAATGGAGGAAGCAGCAGCTGTCTCCAGTGAACGCTTGCAAGAAGTTTTTGATAGACTATCGGGCTCGCTTTCTGTCCCGGCCGTGACCTGTACCGGCCGTGACTCAAAATGGTGCTCGCATGAGAGTCGGTCAAGCAACTGCCTCTGGTCCGACACGGCAGGCCGAAGCAGCTGCCGAAGAGGATGCGCGCTTACTGCAGCAAGCGCCGGAAATATCCAGCGCTGAGGTGCACAAAGTGGCCAATGGTTTGCAGAAGGAGGCCACAGGCGCTCGTACTGTGGCGACTGTTGCCAAAGATGAGGAAACTCTCGATTCACATCGCTCTCCCTCGAAGCCTTCAGGATCTGCCAGGCTTTCCAAGATGGCGCGGACCGATGGGAGCAGCAGTCCGAGCCTTAAGACCGATGTCACATCCCGACCTCAGTTTGCACTTCATTGGTCTCCTTCGGTAATGGGACATGGGTACAATACGGGAGTGCAACAGATCAGTCCACCTACTCCACCTGCTAGTTGGGCTGGGCTTTGTCAATCCTTCCCACACCAACTCTTCCTCCACTCTTCTCAATACATACAGTACCGCCTCGCAGCCACTTTCCACTCCATCCAATCCTACCCTTCCTTGCTGGGCACTCCTTGTCCCCCGGTCCATCCACAGAACTCCACTCCTTCACCTCCGCCACAACCATCGACGAGCCCATTTATACGACAGGCCCTGATGAACCTCGAAAATATATGAAAATATGGCCTTGATTTGAATGAGCGCTGGCAATGGAGACAAGGATCATTGCGACAATCAAAAAATCAATGGGCTGACATTTCCGTGTCTCATCCGATCATTGGCATTTACACAACGTTTGGATGTGGAGGGCTGCGACCCCTTGGCCCTATACCAGTGATCAATTTCAAATATTTCAAAGAGGTCGTGACCAACCACAACCTGTTTATCCGTCACATCCGCTACGTGGGCAATCGCTTGGTGCTTGGCGACCCTCGACCTCGAGATCTAGCTCCACATGATTTTTTTTGATCTTTTTTGCACGAAGGCTTCTATTCGAGCCTATCCTGCCCGAAACTGAGCCCGATCAAGAATTTCTCGGGTTCATAGCGGCAACCATGTGAGGCAATTTATTGTGGCCCGACAAACATGTCTCAGATTCTTTCACCATTTTTGGCATCCCCACCTGCCATCGTGCTGAGCGGCTTGCGCCGGATGTCACATTGTGGTCAAAGGCACCTTCCCAATTCATCGTGCTCATCAAGGGTTCCAACAGCTAATCCATTTGTATTTCATGCGGCTCGTTTCGATCACTCAGCCGTATTTCTTCGAAGATTTTGACGTCCAAGGGTTAATTAAAACATCTCTTCTTCCGCTGCGCTGATGATGATCGATTCACATTTTCCTCTTGCTCACTTCCTTCCTTGAAATACCTCAACTACCTGGCTAGCTTCTGGCCGTTTTTTGAAGCCGAGCAGGATTGGGACACCCCTCATATCCCAACCGTTCCTTTGGAATTGCCATATGGTGCCACAACTTTGCAATGCCTTCACCGGCCTCCTCCAGTTCGGCATCTCATGTGACACATGGTGCAGGAATTTCGGAGATATCAACAACCTTGGCAGGCAAACCAACGACTATGAATCAACTCTGAACCAAATCTTCGATCTATTGGAATACCACACTCACCTATTATTCCTCCTCCTTGTGATGATACCAATATTCGTCATACATTTGGCTCTGCAACAGCTCCCACCCTGACTGGCAGCCCTTTGAAGATTTTTAGTGCGGCCTCAACTTTGCCGATGCCAAATACTGCATGACTCAGAAAGCGACCTCGTGACCATGCATACCGATGGCCAAGGAAGACATGCCCGAACCCCCATCCACTCCTTCTCCTCCGGTGAATAGTATCCGGGACTCCGGCTCCTGTGCATCTACCTCTCGCCACAGCTGCACCGGATCCAACCCCTTGCTCCGGACTCTGAGTCCGAAGAAGCCTGCCCGACCGGGACCCTCCATCGTCAAGACCATCGGCACCAAGTCGGCCCCATTCCGACACTACCTCATGGACGAATCCCTCCCGGCCAAGTGAACCAGTTCCCTTGCCCGCATTGACCCTCAATCCAGGAAATCGAGCTTGGAATGATATCGATGATGCAGAATTGCTTCGTTACAAACAGGACTCGTGCCCGTCCATCGTGGAAGACCATTGGACAACAACTTCAACGCACACCTTAGAGCTGCCGGGCCCGTTAGCTGAATGCTCCTGAAAAAGAATCATCCAGACTTAGTGGGACAGTCTGAACCTGAACATCGCGCAGAAGGCATGATTAAATCCACTTGGGGGCGATGACATAAGAGAACGTATTTGATTCTGACAATTTTTCGATTGCAGCCCACTGATCTTTCCCGTGTTCAATACTTCGTCCTTTCTATTCCTGCTTCCTTGCTTCTGGCTCTCAAGCAACTTACTTGCCTCGTGTTCGCATTCACTTCATCATGCCTCGTTCTCGCTCCCCTACTCGTCGGCCCCCGACTGCTCGCACACAATTTTCTTTGGTAGTTCTTCGACGACTTCTTGAATCGCCACAGGGACCGACCAGACCTCATCCTGGTTCAGTTTGGGTTTTTTTCGTTCTCTTGCTCGTGATGATGAAAATTATTTACCATTGGACACGTCCTTATACGAAACTTGTCCCTGAAGTGGAAGAAGACGGCTTGCTTCGGTTTACAAAATTTGCGGCCGTTGGCACAGCTGCTAGTGTCCTGTCTACAATTCTTGCTAGACGATATTACGAACCTTATTTTGACCTCGCGGTCGCTTCATTTGTATGCCTCTGATTTGGAACTTCGATACTCAGACCTTGATGGCAGCCCGCTTTATTTGGTCCTAGGTGCGCTCAATACCGTCTCTGTTTGGATCAATACAGTATGACAGCATGCAGTCTATACCTGCTCCCCGACCACAATCCCTTGCGAACATATTCACATCGCTGAATACAGTTTGTGGGCCACAGATACTCAGCTCCTGCCTGCGCTCCTTGCGCCCTGTTTACTGCTGCTGTGTTTTGCACGTAAGGCGCGTTCCAACTTCACAAGTCGAAAAGCAATTCTGAGCAAAAGTGTGTGTGTGCGCGTGTGCGTGTGCGTGTGCGTGTGCGTGTGCCTTAGTTGTTTGCGTGTCTTACAAAGGCTCTGGCAGGTCTGGCGGGACTGGTGTGCCTTTCGCATTCGACGCGCAAGCCACTTTCAGAGAGTGGTGAAGATATTCAAAGAGCTCTTTTCACTTCTAAAAATGGATCCAAGATTCTGTTGCTGCAGATAGCTGGCCAGTGTGCTGCCAGTGTGATGACCACAATGCAGCTTCGCTCAAGAACGCTCCAACGGAAAGTTCTGTGCTGTCCTGGGGAAGGTTGTGCTGCTGGAAGATATTATTGCAGTATCTTGAATTGTGGCATCCCGTCACTCCGCATGTCTGGAATGAATAAAATGAGTTGTTGCATCATGAATTGCTCTTTCTTCGCAACACACGGAAAGAGACTATGTCACTACGTCACATTTTGTGCGTTCTGTTCCATATCCTTGCTTGAGGTAAATGTCTTGCCCTCTCCTTGGTGAGAAGGCGAGGCTCTTGGGAGGGCAACACTGTTCCGCGACGGCAACATGAGCCTGACGTTGCATGACGGCTTTGAAGAGTGACTTTACTGGTGAAGCGACAGGGCCTGGAATTGCACTATATTGCCGCTGCGTTCGTTTGTCATTGTTTGTCTATTCAAATGTATATAATGTATGCAAGCTGCTGCTAGGCACCTCGGTGATGCGGCTTTGTCTCAGTCCAAATTGGACACCCTGCAGAGGTCAGCAGCTTAGCAGCTTTGGCAGCTTCTTGAAAATGGAAACATTCGCAAGTACATCGACTTGAGATATATAATTGAGTTCAAGGAGATACGACTACAGCAAGTACCATCAATATCGATCTGTATGGACAACATGCAGCTGTTCCACCATGTGCAAGGGCCGGAGCGAATGCAGAGGTGACACCAGAACCAGGAAAGGCCCCGGCAGTCCAAGGCAGAAAACGAATCTCTGGGATTGCACGCGTGATATGAAGCGATATCCCAGAACTGGGACAACGCGAGTCATCTCCAAAGCTGCACCGCATTTGAGCCCTCGGACCTTCTTGGATGGCTCGAAGATCCATACAATAAACTAGTTTTCCAGCATCACAAAGATACATACCTGAGCAAACCCAAGCTGAAACATGGAGGAAATCAGGCAAAAAATGCAGCAGCTTAACTCGCAGGACTGCGAGAAAATAAGCATTTCTGTTGGCTTGCGTCCTTTGACGAAGTAGCATCCCTAGCAAGGTATGCATGCTGTGAAAAGTGGTTCTTTAAATATGCAGCAGGGAGGTGTTGAGCGAGGGTGTTGCCAAAGAATATGCTACAAGAGTCTTATACTACTGACAAGGTTGTTGTCAAGGAGTGTTTTGTACAATAGTGTTTGACAATAGCTTCCAGCAGCGTGCCGGACTAGCGCGCTCTACTAAGAATATTTCAAAAAAAGTTGTTCTACAGGAATGCTAAAGAAGGAAAACAGTGCATGCATTTTTGCCAGCAAGTGTGGTCAAAGAGTTCTATACATCAAAGTTTTCTGCAGGAGTGCTGCAAGCCGTGTTCTTGAATAGACATGCAAAGGGCGTCGTGTAAGAGTACTGCTAAAAACTTGCCACATGAATGTTGTACAAACATGTTGGTGGCAGCGCGGAAACAGTGGCGAGGGAAAAGGAACACTTGTCAATCTTTATACCAAAGGACACAAAAGGAGACAAGGAAGTCAAAAATTGCCAAGAATTGTCAAACGCTACACGCCAAGCAAAACTAGTGCACGTGACAGATCTGCGAGATAGGAAGGTGCGAATGGATGAAAGCAAGAATTGCATATACAATTATATACATTGTATAGTGTAGGCACAGAGGCTAGCACAATTCAAGGACCGGATAACCCCACAAGCCAACATCATCCAACATCTACCAATAATCAGAAAAAGTGGTTAAAGCGGGACGGAGAAAGAAGAAAGGACAAAGGAGATGGTGGAGGCTCGATCATTTTAAAAGTTGTGTTTGAAGAGTTGTGTGTGTGAAAGATTGCGCGTTTGACAAGTTGTGTGTGACAAAGTTGTGTGCGTGTGTGTGAAAGGTTGTGTGTGTCAAAGAGTTGTGTGTGGAAGATTGTCTGCGACAAAGCTGTGTGTGTGTGTGAAAGATTGCCTGTGACAAAGTTGTGTGTGAAGGATTGTCTGTGACAAAGTTGTAAAAAGCTGTGTGTGAAAGAGTTGTGTGTGACAAAGTTGTCTGTGACAAAGTTGTGTGTGACAAAGTTGTCTGTGACAAAGTGGTGTGTGTGTGTGAAAGATTGTCTGTGACAAAGTTGTGTGTGACAAAGATGTGTGTGACAGTGAAGTTGCATGTGAAAGAGATGTGTGCGTGTGCGCGTGACAAAGTTATGGGTGACAAAGCTGTGTGAGAGAGATATGCTTGTGAAAAAGTTGTGTGCGAAAAAGTTCTGCGTGTGCGTGTGTGTGTGTGTGGCAAAGTTGTGTGCGATAAAGTTGCGTGTGAGAGAGAGACAGAGAGATGTGAAAGACTGTGCGTGACAGAGTTGTGTGTGTGTTTGTGCGTTCGCATTTGAGAGAGAGATAGATTCACTTGCAGCACCTTGCAGCGTGGATGTCACCAAGCGCCACGCTTGCCTCGCCAAACGAAGGTCGAGGTCGCCAAGCGCCACGCGTGCCACGCAGGTGGATGTCGCCACGTGCCACGCCTGCCACGCAAAGTGCAGGTGGATGTTGCCAAGCGCCACCCCGGGCGACCAACCTGCCACACAAAACGTATAATAGGTGGATGTCGCCAAGTGCCACGCCTGCCACGCAAAAAGAAGGTGGATGTTGATGTCGCCAAGCCACGCCGGATGTCGCCACGCCGGGCGACCAACGGGCCCCGAGCCCCAAGCGAGCCACCAGACCTAGCCCAATGCCATAAGCTGCCACGTGAAACGAAGGTGAATGTCGCCAAGCGCCACGCATGCCACGTGAAACGAAGGTGGGTGTCGCCAAGCGCCACGCGCCACGCAAAGTTCCGCGGTGTCACGGGCGACTAACGGGCCTCAAGGGCGCCACCAGACCAATGTCGCCAAGTGCCACGCCTGTCACGCGAAACGAAGGTGAATGTCGCCAAGCGCCATGCCTGCCACGCGAAACGAAGGTGAATGCCGCCAAGTACCACGCCTTCCACGTGAAACGAAGGTGGATGTCGCCAAGCGCTACGCCTGCCACGTGAAACGAGGGTGGATGTCGCCAAGCGCCACGACTGCCACGCAAAGTGCCGGGGCGTCACGGGCGACTAACGGGCCTCAAGCGCGCCACCAGACCCAGCCCAGTTCCAGAAAGGGCGATGCCTGCCACTCAAACCGAAGGTGGATGTGGCCAAGTGCCACACCTGCCACGTGAAACGAGGGTGGCTGTCGCCAAGTGCCAGTGAGCAAGTTGTGGGTGTGACAATGTTGTGTGTGTGTGACAAAGTTGTGTGTGAAAGAGAGTGTGTGACCAAGTTGTGTGTGTGTGTGACAAAGTTGTGTGGGAAAGATGGTGAAAGATGTTGTGTGTGACAAAGGAGTGTGTGAAAGAGAGTGTGTGTGTGTGTGTGTGTGTGCGTGGGTGCGTGCGTGGGTGTGTGTGTGTGTGTGTGTGTGTGTGTGTGTGTGTGTGTGTGTGTGTGTGTGTGTGTGTGTGTGTGTGTGTGTGTGTGTGTGTGTGTGTGTGTGTGTGTGTGGTGTGTGTGTGTGTGTGTGTGTGTGTGTGTGGGTGTGTGTGTGTGTGTGTGTGGGTGTGTGTGTGTGTGTGTGTGGTGGTGTGTGGTGTGGTGTGTGTGTGTGTGTGTAACATCTGAATAGATGTAAAACTTCTTCTCTCTCTTTCTTCCTTTGTCCTCTCCCTTTCTTAATCTAAATTTAATGCAGGGGGACTGGAGCCGATTTGCCTATCCAGTCCAACGAAGCTATGGCATTTCGGTGGATGAGTGGTCTGATCAACCACTTGTACCTGCAAAACTCAGTTTGAACTGTTGACCAAGCTGTTACACTGCGTTGTTTCGAATCTACACGGTTGCCACAATTTGTATTGCCTGCATCATAACCTTCCTCAGTTTTTCGCCATCTGCATGTTTCAGGATTCAGTTCCTGCCGGATCATATAATGATCCATTCTTGTCTAGTGTGATTTCCATGGTGGCTCCGACATGGTGCCATGGAGCCATTGGAGGCAACCCTTTTCAGGGTGAGTGTTGACAGACTTGAATTCTGAATTCACACATTTTAACTTAGTAATTCGTTTAAGTAGAGGGCAACAATCAGCCTTGCGGTTTATCAGCCATTTTGTGATTTCCTGCTGCTCCGGCTGTCCCTTGAGATCCTCGTGAATTGCTTTCTTCACTGAGAGAAGCCATGCGGAACAACCAGAAACGTTCTTTTTTCGATCACTACAGCTCAAGCTTTGGAAGTGAAACATGTCCATGTGACGAGTTACAGGCAGGCACACGACTTTCAGGTGTGGTGATTCTTTCTTTTGATGGTTGTCTGGTGAGGTTAAACATTTTGTGCATCTAATTCGATGGAACTTGGAAGCTGTTTTATGCCATTGCGGCACGACTTGACCACGGTCCCGGTGCAGGGAATAATCGCACGACCTTTAGGCATTTAGGGACTGAATCCTGTTTTTAATTAATTGTTTTGGTTTTCCTGTCTGTCATCAACTAGTCCCCCATTTGGTCCCTAATTCTCCCCGCGTGCCTCTCCGTAACGTGTTGTTGGGTTTAGGTGTGTGCGCTGTTTTTGTCAGGTCCGTTTCGCCGTGTAGGTTGGTTCTGGAGGTCCGTCTGTTCCCCTCCCCCCCCTGCGCTGTTTTTTGGCCGTTTGCCCGTCGTGTGTCCGCTTTTTTCTTCCTCTTGCCTTTCAGGGTTGACCCGGCTCCGGCCAGGTGTGTGTGTGTAACATCTGAATAGATGTAAAACTTCTTCTCTCTCTTTCTTCCTTTGTCCTCTCCCTTTCTTAATCTAAATTTAATGCAGGGGGACTGGAGCCGATTTGCCTATCCAGTCCAACGAAGCTATGGCATTTCGGTGGATGAGTGGTCTGATCAACCACTTGTACCTGCAAAACTCAGTTTGAACTGTTGACCAAGCTGTTACACTGCGTTGTTTCGAATCTACACGGTTGCCACAATTTGTATTGCCTGCATCATAACCTTCCTCAGTTTTTCGCCATCTGCATGTTTCAGGATTCAGTTCCTGCCGGATCATATAATGATCCATTCTTGTCTAGTGTGATTTCCATGGTGGCTCCGACATGGTGCCATGGAGCCAATTGAGGCAACCCTTTTCAGGGTGAGTGATGACAGTCTCGAATTCTGAATTCACACATTTTAACTTGGTAATTCATCTAAGTAAATCGCAACAGTTGGCCTTGCGGTTTATCAGCCATTTTGTGATTTCCTGCTGCTCCGGCTGTCCCTTGAGATCCTCGTGAATTGCTTTCTTCACTGAGAGAAGCCATGCGGAACAACCAGAAACGTTCTTTTTTCGATCACTACAGCTCAAGCTTTGGAAGTGAAACATGTCCATGTGACGAGTTACAGGCAGGCACACGACTTTCAGGTGTGGTGATTCTTTCTTTTGATGGTTGTCTGGTGAGGTTAAACATTTTGTGCATCTAATTCGATGGAACTTGGAAGCTGTTTTATGCCATTGCGGCACGACTTGACCACGGTCCCGGTGCAGGGAATAATCGCACGACCTTTAGGCATTTAGGGACTGAATCCTGTTTTTAATTAATTGTTTTGGTTTTCCTGTCTGTCATCAACTGGTCCCCCATTTGGTCCCTAATTCTCCCCGCGTGCCTCTCCGTAACGTGTTGTTGGGTTTAGGTGTGTGCGCTGTTTTTGTCAGGTCCGTTTCGCCGTGTAGGTTGGTTCTGGAGGTCCGTCTGTTCCCCTCCCCCCCCTGCGCTGTTTTTTGGCCGTTTGCCCGTCGTGTGTCCGCTTTTTTCTTCCTCTTGCCTTTCAGGGTTGACCCGGCTCCGGCCGGGTGTGTGTGTGTAACATCTGAATAGATGTAAAACTTCTTCTCTCTCTTTCTTCCTTTGTCCTCTCCCTTTCTTAATCTAAATTTAATGCAGGGGGACTGGAGC